TCTTTAAAATACATCAATAAATATGATAAATAATACCATTCTGCTGTTATTTAACCATGATCTATATATCATCATGTTATTCCAAATCTGTATTTTTATGTTTGTATGCAGGTGCTGTTTTTGTAGCCTTGTATTTCTATATATGCTAAATTATTTTAAATTGCAAGACACAATGACATATTTGATAGAAAAAAGTAAGATACATTTTACTAAAAAGTAAGCAACAACAAAAGAACATGTGAAACAGAGGAAAATAATAATGTACAAATATCCTCCGATAACTTCCCTCATCACAACTCTTTAAAAGTTCTTTATCATTTAGCAAGTTTTTCACTCTCTTCATAATATTCATACATACATATTTATAACCTGCTCTTCCTGTCAAAAATTTCTGAGGTAGCAGATAAAATCAGTTAAAAACATGTGTACGTATTAAGATAATAAAACAGCAAAGTTTCTTTGAATCCTAGACCAACTTAGCAACTCCACAGAGCCATATTGTCTTTTGCCTTAGTCACGGTTTCTCTTCTTCAGCTTTTTTTCCTGGATCTCTTCAGATTCTTATCCAACCAACGTTATTGCTGTCACAATTCCCATTTCTTAGCCTTCTCTCTGGTGCCCCACAACATGACAGCTGTTACACATAAACATTTGCCCATTAACATTCCTCTGAAGCAGCAGACCTATCTTGAAGTAGTTCTGTGTCCTCCAGTTTTGGTTCAGCTTGGCAGAAAAAGGACTAAATACAAAGGCTTTCCACGTGGGGTCATTGCACCACTTCAGACCTAACCCCAGAGCTGTATTTTCCCACACTGGTTGTGTTTGGCAGCTGAGACAATTAATTTCTAGCTCAGCTATGGTGTATCTGAAATAGCAAAAAGGGTGATTCCCCTGTTCTCCCATTGGTGGGAACATTTGCCTTATAATGTCTTGTGTTTTCAGTTGATGTAACACTCAGGTCGTGGTCCTTAAGTGAGAAAGAAAAGTGTGACAGCTTCATAGAACCCCCTGCACAGCAACTGCTTGCAACTGCTGCACACAACCTGACAAATTAATACTCTCCAGGTGATTCCACTGTAAATTTATAGCTAGGATGATCTGGGCTGCTTTGATTCTTTACAGATTCTTGCAGAATAGGTTGTATCTTTAAAATAAAATAAATACGCTCTGCTATTGGTTATAGAGAATAAGAGCAGACCCAGGAAGAAGGAGCAGGCCTGCTTGTGTTCATGCTCTTAATCCCTCCCCATCTTCTCCCATGGAAGGCCTTCAAGCTTTCTTGGAGAGAAAAGTTGTGATTGAGCTGCTGGAGATAAGCAAGCAAGCACACAAGAGCTGTTGGAGGATGGGTACTGTGAACAGCATGAACATAGATGGAATACACAAAATGGGCTGAAGGGACAGGTTTGAGGCTGGTGTAAAAAAAAAGTTTTTCTATTTTCAGCGCTATTTTGGAATCTATATATAAGCAAGAATATTGCACTAATCATGACCAGTCTACAAAATAATCACTTCAGAATTATACTACTGGAAAAAGACTCTGAAATAGCTGTAAGAATGCCATCTGGCAACTAAGACAGAGACTTGCTTTTCCAACTCAGAGTTTCTCTAAAATACATAAAGCTTTCTGATTCATTAAATGTCCAGTGCATATGTCACCAAAATTACAATTACCTGTGCACATCTATTATCAAGAGGCCTTGGGGAACTTTACTACAAAAGTACACTTAATTTTCAGGAAAACAAAAGGAAGAAAATCATATACTGTAATTCTAGGGAGTAAAGCAGGAAAGTAATGGGGTATCCTGAAGAGGTTATGGGTGCTCCTGAACATCAGGAACTTCCTTATTGTAACCTTTTTATTGTAAAATCTGCTCACCTGATACCTACAGTTGAGTTTGTTCATAGAACATCCTTACTTACAATTAACTGAACCATGGTTTATTGTACTAACCCAATTTTCTGAATTCCTGTGGCATTCATAGGCTGATGTGCTAAGCTAATATAAGGTTGGCTAATTTGCAATTTAGTGTGTCTTTTGAACCCAGTGGGTGGACTGCCTTTATCATAAAATTATGTATTATCAAACCAATTATCTCAACACCTCTATTTAAATGCATCCATTGGGAAAATTATTCCATTGTACCTTGGCATAGGCCTGTATCTTTAAAAGTTTGATATCTCCAAAATTGCTGTAGTCTGAGAAATGGGAGTCTGATTTCTTCTCCATTATGTTCTAGCTTTCAAGTGATTGAATTTGTCATAACAGTGTTAATTCTCAGGTAAAACAACAACACAGTTTCATGATAATATTTTTGTAGGAACACCTGAAATAACAGAAAAATATGCAAAGCTTTTGGAGAACTCTTTATGTGGAAGGGCTTCAAAAAGGATGCTTTCCAGGGGGTGGAAAGAAGCAAGACTAAAAATTAACCATATCTTATCTTAGATTAAGACACAGAGCCAAGTTCTGTTCACTTGAGGGAGTTGAGGGCCCCCTCAAACTGAATTAGGTCAAAATGAAATACTGTAGGTGGCTACATCATGACACAAATCCCACATTTATGTAACCATGGCAGTCCCATAACTGAGATGTCTTCATTCAAATTTCCCTTTTAAACTTTTCACATTTCTTAGTCTTTAGTCATGTGTGTGTGGACTCTACAAACCAACAGCTTCTGCTTTAAGCTGCATTTTCCTTAATCCCTCTGATCCAATCTGAAGACTATTATTTTCTCACAAGTTTTTTATTTCCATAATGATTTTGTTAGAAGAGGATATATTTAGTATTCTTTCTGAATAATTCTTTGTCACTTCTTTGGAAATGTGTTTTAGAAAATATGTACGAACATTGCTAGGCATGCTAATAATGCCACTTGGTTACATGGAAGCCCTACCCTACGAATTCTTGCTACCTGTTTCGATGTTCTCTTCCATCTGAGGGTGCGTTACATGTTGCCTGCCTTTCAGTAGCTCTTGAAACCAGTGAAATCCAACTGAGGAGTCCCAGAGCAAGAGTCAGGATCAAATCACTGTAGCTTTATTAGGGTGATGTCATAAAGATACATTATGAAAGGTTTCTTTCTTTCTGAAACATATACAGGTAGTCTTCACTTAATGTACACTCATTCAGTGGCTGTTCAAAGTTACAATCGTGCTGAGCGAGGGGTACTTACGATGGGTCCTTGTAGTTGCGGCTGTCACAGCATCCCTACAAACATGTGATTGAGATTCAGGCACTTGGCAACCGGCACACGATTGCAATGTTGCATCATCACTCAATCACCCAATCGCCATTTGTGACCTTCACTGCTGGCTTCCAACAAGCAAAGTCAATTGGGAAGCTGACCCAAGATCGCAAATGATGATCATGTGACCGTGCGATGCGGCGATCGTGCGGGATTCACCTAACGATGGCAACTGGGAACTTGTAATTATTCTTCTTGCAATTATTAGGGATTATTCAGTTTATTTGGTTTAAACATTGATAAATGGCCTAAATAATGTGATCACTCCAGTACATTTTACAGTTAAAAGTTCAGCAGCCATTTCCTCCATCATATGATTAAACTGTGTTCATACATCTTGAAAAATTACTTGCTTCATAATACTTTAAATAGAAATCAAGGAATATTAGAAATATTACGAGCACATCGCTTAGCAACAGAGTTCCTGATCCCAATTACCATCAGTGAGGACTACCTGTATTACAAAACAAAAGAAACCAATAACATTATACAACATGGACAAATATTTATATTGTACCCAGATCCACTGTCTTTTCACTGTCAATAGGGCTATAGTTTTAACATCAGGCTAGCGGTATTATTTTCATCTGTAATGCTTTAAGTGTCAGTGCTTCTTATCATCACAAACGCATTTTACCTTAGCAAATGTCTATTGTACTAAATATAATATGGTGCATCAGAAATTGTATTTATTTCATTTACTGTGAAGAACAGAAATGTATTTTTGTTTCTGTTGTGGTGAGGAAGTACATGATCAAATACCAAGCAAGTCACATCATAAAAATGGTATATACTTAAGTATTTGTGACAGATGTAGATTTATTTAGCATAGTACAAAAATAGTTACCATAGTGCAAATAAGTACATGGTACAGTTGCTTTACTGTATTGACCTTCATTTTCTACTTCATCACCATAGCAGAAAGAAAACATACATTTCTACTTATTTCTTAGTTATCTTTTTCTAAAGATAAAAAAGGCCATAGTCTGTTTAATTTTGTTTATAAATTGGCAGAATTTTAACCAAAACTGGTATCATATGAAATGGGGTTTTACACTTAAATTCTAATCTAAACAAGCTAAGAAGATAAAGCTTGGAAGATTTATAACTGATAATGGGAAAAATTAGACTGCAGGAATATGACCCCCCTGTGAGATTTGCCCCGTTCGACAGAGAAACTCTCGTGACACGTGTGGTTCACAAAGAA